TCAAAACCCCCCCCCCCCCCCCCCCCACACACACCAAAAATAAATAAATAAATAAATTCAGTCAAAAGATTTAAACAATAATTAAAAAATTAAAAATTAATCATAAACAATTTTCAAAATTCTCAATAAAAAAAACACCAAATAAATTAATAAAGCAGAAAATAATCAATAATCCTATTGTAGTTGAAAAAAAGTTTAGAAGTTCCCGAAGATGCCAAGGTCAAAGAAAAATAAAATATGTGCAAAGACAAGAAGAATTTAAAAAATAAAATATGTGCAAACTGACAGAATTTGTACACTGAGATGGCTGCCAGATTATTGTCGGAAAGGTAGTTTCTGTTCGGGAATTGAGTAGACGCGTGGAGGAGGATGCAAAAGCTTTTTTGTTTTTGTTTGTCTAGTGTGTGATGTAATATTAAATTAGTTTAGGCTAAACAAGTAAATGTAATTGTTGGGTCCACTTAGAATCTGATTTTTCTTTTACTTTTAACAATAATATGGAGGCACACGCCTCATGCGCCTTGAGGCATGTGCTCATTAATCTAAGGTGTGTGCCTCAATATAGTAGCATAAAAACTTGCGCCTTGAGGCACAAACCTTATGCCACAATTTGAGGTGCGCCTTGACGACCACTTTTTTAAACCATGTGGCATACTTTTCTTTGCTTTTGATAACTATGAGAGTATGTTCTTCCCCATCCCTAAGCATAATATGGTAGCTCACCAGCCATTTCCAACAGCACAAAATTACCCCCGGCAAACACCCCCACCTTGACCCTTAAAAGGAAGGAAAAAGCGGTATTAATCAAAGACATGGCTACTGAATTTCCAGTCTATGAATCAAAATTTTATCAAATAGAGCAAAAGGAAAAATCATGCCAAACGTGTAAGGAGTTCTACTAAAAAACATTAGAGTACAGCACAGACAGAGAGAAACTAATCATCATGCTAGTCACTGGAAGACAAATGGGAAACAGGAGGAAGCAGATGGAAGTTGGAATTGGAAAATTCGGCTCAGTAAGTCTTGCTCTGAACGAGGAAGGAAATTGAAAAGAGAACTGCTTCTCGGTCTAGAATCTTAACAACTAATATTTTGGAATCCCGTGATCTTAAATCCAGCGAAATCAAATAGAGCTCAACATCAACTCAACTTTAAAGCTCATGGTCAAGTCAACGTATGTCTCAATTCATGTTACAATAATCTATAAAAGTATAGTATCAGATTTAATTATAAGCACACCAAACCCCCCCCCCCCCTTCGCCCTATGATTCTATCCGAATCATAGATTAAACGAAAACCCAAGTTTGAGTAACTAAGCTGTTCTTCGGGAAAAAGATAAAAGAAATAGAAATTAGTGATTGTTAACTATATAGACGCATGGGAAATGGATTTTTGAATAGTGTATTGAATATGTGATTGAAATGATATCAAAATACTGTTTAAGAATGCATTTTTTTTTCCAAAGAATGGGCTCAAACAAGGGCTTAATATCACAAAGATCGTTAGCATGTAATGAAGGTAAACACAGAACAGGTCTCAAGCAATGTAGAGTCGACATACTGCAACATCAGGTACGCCAATAATATCCATGTTCCACTGGTAGTGTTCACGACGGCGTCCCCTGGTCATTCGTTCATAGCGCCAGCACTGTCCAATGGCATACCATTTTAGTGGAAGGGATACAGATTTTCTGGACAGAAAAAAACACGGAGATCAAAATCGAGCATCTGTACCTGGATACAAAATCAGGAATAACATATAAATATATTATGGTGATTTAAGAATTTGCTAAAGCAAACTCATAAAAAGCAAAGATTTCTACATGTGCACAAGGACAAAAAGATAAAGAAATATTGAACTTTACCCTTTCTGTATCACAAGTCTGGCCAAAGAAGGAGTAAGTTCTGGCCTTAATGCAACTCGACGGTTTCCTCGATCCTCAAAGCAGTAAAGCTTCATCCATAGAAAACCAAAAGAGAGATTACAAATAAAGAGAGAGAACCGTATAAGTAATCTACATGAAAATTCTCCTCAGCCTTTCATTGCTTTAGAAATATACAATTTCCCCTTGTCTTGACACACCATTATCCTGCCATATATGTATATGTAGTGTTTGTGGTACCACAAGACTGAATTTACAGAGGCATCAATAATTAGTGATGCTTTCCAAGCAAGCCATGAAATTAATTCTCAAAAGCATATTTTGCAGGCTGCACCCAATTATTATAATTACCAAAATATGGATCCTTATGAGTCCATTTAACCTTATCTTTTTATTGATACACCTCCCAAGAACACCAAATACAAGCATACACAAGCCCTGATATTAACGTGACTGAATCACATCCAAGAAATATAAATATTAATCAGTCTGTATTTATGAGCAATCATATACAAGGAATAAAGAAATGTATACATATAAATGCTTTTATACACGTCTGCTCAGGATCCTTTATCTACTGTGTAAACTCCATTTTCCATGAATAAAAGTTGGAAGAGTAGATTACAGTTGCTTTCTCATTGAAATTTTTGCTGCTTCTTTTTCTTCCATTGATTTGGTTTCTTCACTACAAAAAATAACACAGTGGAATACAAATAACAAAGTTTCATTTTATATTTTCCAAATTATCCAAGGATCAGATGACTTTGCATTACTAACGCTTGAACAGTTGATGAATAATTTAAAAGAAAAAGGATTACAGAAGTTTGTTTTTCTTAGAAGAGGATGGGTATTCAGCAAAAAACCAGTATTAATGATATAAGGAATTAAGGATTAACCCCAGGACACTGCATATCAATATTACTACATAATATTCTTGTTAGCTATTAGCGTATCATCCAGTTACCATGCATTACAATGAGGAATTTCACTGCTTAATTACAAATTTTGGCCAGTATACAATATTGGAAGAATAGGAAACGTCCTATTACATCTGTATTCAATTTTTTATTATTTTTTTCACACTGCCAAGAGGCATGAATCATTTTCGGCCTTCAATAGACAAAAAGGTTAATCATGTTAACTTTTACTCTGCTTTCGTCTATTGAGTACCATATGTTTCCCTTCCTCTTCTAATTTCTTTATACACCTGATGAAAATTTAGAAATACATTGGCTTACTTTTACAATCTTACCATTGAATTACATATAAAAGATACTGGATGAAAAGTAAAATTCACACCAACCTGATCTCTAATCTCTTCCCCAGCTTTCCTAATAAACAGAGCCTCTGACTCTAGGACTGGAAAATCAACCTCTTCAAACCCGAACAATTGTGAAACCTAGATGTTCAACAATCAATCAGCGCATAACAAACACGAGGATAAAATTTAATGCTAAAACTTGACAGGAAAATCTTTCCAGAAAAATGAGGACTGCATTTTCAAAATCATAGATATACTCATATTAGTGACGTTATTATACAATTATTAAATAAAGCTGAAGATAGATTGATTTATGATGGTAATCCTAGATATTGAACTCAATGGATTCATTACAACGGTGATTTTCATCCATGGAAACCTAGAAACTTTTTAATCAGCAATGCATTTCCTTGCACATGTCAACGAGAGCAGTAGGTGGGTCAACATGGAGGGTGGGAATAGTTCTTGAAAACCTCCCTCTCCCTCTCCCACCCCCATCCCCACCTGCAGCCCACCAGGCTGAAATGCTGGCTCCATTTCTGCCAATAAGTTTATAAACCACCCTAATAAATAAGAAAGTAAATTTTTTCCTTGTGGTACCATCTTTTCAGATAGAAAATTTAGCCATTTGCTAAAACCTATTCTTCCCAACATTTAACATAATCACAAGAAAAATAATAGCAATGAAAAATTTAGTGTGGAGTAGCTACTTACAAATTACAATACATTGATGTAGAAGATACTCCTTAATATTACACAATGCAATCAATTATTACAAATTTTCCTTCGCCCCTATCTAATTTTTTATATTATTACCTACACCAATGCACCACCACATTATCACCTACCAATTAAAAGATTCAATTTTTCTTTACCTCAATATTTTCTTCTCACTCTAACCACCACCAAAAGAAACTTTTGCAGTTTGCCTCACCTAGCAGAAAGCCATTTATTCGAAGCATGATGTGCAAAATAGGCATGGTAGGAGCATATATCATGTAGTTCAATCCATTAAAAATTTAATCTTATGCTTCAGCAGTTGTACCCTTCTTGGACGGGGTCAAAACTGAGGTACAACCTTCAGACCACTATGCGAACAGAAGTATTTGTACATCTTGCTCTCGTACGGTCTTACCATGCATCCACATAATAGCATTAAAGCACAGTCTGAACTTTACTTGGCCATTGCAGCAACCAAGGTGAACCCAATGAAGAAGAATGTACAACTACGAACGTTATATCTCAATCTAAACCACACGCCAAAGGTACTAAGTCGAAGCATCGACATTTTAAATCAAGTTAGGAGATACATAACCCTAGACAGATTATACATTACACCGTCGAGCGGACACTGAGTGACCAAGACAAAATCTTTAAATACAACGTACAGAGCACTGGACATTACGATTCACCCTAACGGTTATCTCTTCCTCCCTGGACTGCGGAATCAGGGTACACACAAAAGATCCCAACTTATAACCACAGAAGTTAGCGAATGGATGGTTGTACAATTCTTTAATCATAATTTCATCAAAGAAGATAATACAAAAGCTTTACCTCTCTGAAGTTCTGAAAAAGCCAACTGCGGAGCCTCATGTCCTCCGGGGGGAAATCCCGAGTTCCTTTGGGAGGATTAACGTCAATTTTCTGCGTAATATCCAAATGGGTAAGTGGCGAAGCGAGTGAACCGGAGCGGCCAGTTCGCTCATTGCTTTCAATGATGAGTGAACCAGGCTGCGGCTCTGCAGAGGATGTGGAAGAAGTAGAGTAGGCCCTGGATTTTGGGTTGGAAATGCTGAAAGAGGGAGGGAAGAAAGAGAAGTTTCGGCGGAAGGAGCGGAGGAGAGTGGTGGCACCGCCGTGGTGGTGGTGGAGGATAAGAAGGGAAGGGCTGGTAATTACACGCATCTTTGGAAATGCTCTCAGAGGTTTTGGCGAAAATGAACCTTAAACGGGAATTTGTAGGGTTAATTATATGAATTATCACTGAGCGTTGTCCTATGATACTACTTAGTCATTGAATTTAAAAATATAACTCAATGATCACTAAATTTCGTCAAGTGTTACTATTTCATAACCTAACTTTAAAATGTATCTCAATAGTTATCGAATTTTGCACCGTGTTATCCATCCGTCACTCAAATGAAAAAATCCGTTAAGTCCAATAAACGGCGTCAACTTGAGTGACCATTAAGATATATTTTTTTTAATTGAATGATGTCAAATCACTGTTTAAGAATGTATTTATTATTATTTTTTTTTTGAGAAAGAATGAGACTCAAACAAGGGTTTAATAATTCAATTAAAAAAATATCTTAATGGTCACTCAAGTTGATGCTGTTTGTCGGATTTAACGAATTTTTCCATTTGAGTGACGGATGGGTAACACGGTGCAAAGTTCGATAACCATTGAGATACATTTTAAAGTTCGATTATGAAGTAGTAATATTTGACGAAGTTCAGTGACTATTGAGTTACATTTTTAAGTTCATTGACTAAGTAGTAACATAAGGCAAAGTTCAGCAACCATTCATATAATTAACCCGGAATTTGTACCAAGGGAATTGAGTCATTGGTCCCCAACGTATAGCCCTGACAGCAAATTAGTCTCTCATCTTTTGAAGAGAACATATTTGATCCTCAATCTTTCATGTTTGGAGTGAAATTGATACGCAAGCTATAAAAATTCCCTCTTCATATGATTATAAAGGGGTCAAACTTGAAAATTATGTAGAAATCACGATTTGAAGGAGTCTGTAGAAACATGGGAGCTCAAAGGAACTTTAAGTCAAGGTTTTGTGTGATGAAGTGTGGGAACTTTTCAAGGATATCATCATCCTACTAATGTAAAATTTGTAGCAGAAAAAGTTGCCAAGGAATGTGGTGGCATGGAGGGATGAACTTCAACAACTAAGGAACTTTAGTTTGACCAATATCCTAGGAGTGCATAATTTGTTGTACTAAAGAGTAGAATTGAGCTACAACTATTTTGAAAGTGTTGAAGCCACATCCTTTTGCTTTGCTCTTTATTTTCAGAAGATCAAAGCATTTCAATCGAGATTTTGGTTAGATATGCAAGGGGCATAGATCTGTCTCAAAATACTGAGACATTATCAGAAGCCAGAGATAGGATAAATTACAATTGTTGATAATCTGAAAAGTTGTAATTTATTGCTATCTGTTGAGATGGATGTGTGAAATTGCATAATATTGTTAGAGATGTGTGCTTACTGATTGCATATAAAGAGAAAAATGTATATATGGTGAGACATTTTGGTTTGAATCAGTGGCCAAGAGAATTGCATAGTGCCATCTTACTTAAATTCGGTAAACTCAATTAGCTTCCAAGTGGGTCAGAGTGTCCGAATCTGAAGTTGTTACGGTTGGTATACCAACAAGAGGGGCTGATAATAGCCTGAGATTTTTTTTTCCAAGATGCAGCAACTCAGTGTTCTTGAATTGAATAACATGTGCATTCATATTTCATCATCACTTCAATACTTGACGAGTCTTCTAACTTTGTGCTTGGACTACTGCACATTAGACTTCAAAATATCAACTATTGGAAGACTAAGTAAGTTGGAATTTCTTAGTTTTTATGGCTTTCGTCTTCTTGACTTCCCCCAGGAAATAGAAGAACTTCGCCACCTGAGGCCACTGGATTTGAGGTTTGAGAAATGCCTCCATTTGCTTCCACGTGGTGTCTTATCAGGGTTTGAAGATGCTAAAAGGGCTATACTTGGGAGCTCACTTTCAAACATCGTGGGATGAAACAGGAGATCAAGAACTCGAACAAGCCTTCATTACAGAAATAAGTTCATTGGTTCGTCTTAACACTTTCCAAATTTGCAAGCACAATCCCAAGTTTCTGCTAGAAATATTATGCGTTGATGAGTGCAATTTGTATACTTATTTAGATCATTTTATTAAATTTTTATGTCGTCAAATTATTGAATTTTATTTAATTTAGATTAATTTTGGTTCGTTTCAGTGTTCGACCCGTTTTGAAACAATTGGAAAAGAAAAGGATAAATTGACAATTAAATAGAAGTTGTGGACCTAATTTCACACTTTAAAAGTTGAGGACTTGAAGAAAAATAATTTATTAATAGGCCTCAATTGGACCATGAATTGGAGTCAAAATATATAATTGATTGGACTTTAATTGGATTCCAAGAGAAGGGTTGACATGGGGTTGATTATTATATATACACACAATAATTGGAACCAAAAAAAAGAAAAGGAGGGGTGAAAACGACAACGTGGGGAAACATTAGGTTTGCCTTGGGTGCCGTGATTATATATAATATACACAGGTGTAGAATAGGCAGCTGGGGGAGAGAAGAAAAACTTACACCAAGAAAAGGTGGCTGCTTGGGCTGATTTTGATATATAGGAATCCACAAATTGGCAGACAACTTGGGAGAAAAATTGACACACATGGAAAAGGCTGCCTTGGGAAATTGATTATATACCTTAAAAGACGGCTGCAGGGAGAGACACCCGCAATAAGAGAAGAAAGGCTGGAGGAAATTTGGTGGCTACTGCTGGAACGCGTACTAATACATCCCGGACAACAGAAATTATGAAAGACGCTGGAAGTAGACTTCTCTATCAATAAAGGCAGCGACTAAATTGGGCTGAAAATTGGAAATTTTTATAATGTTTCGTCAATTTTTGGTGATCTCTTTTCTCTTTTATGTGTTTAATTTCAATATCAAGTTAAGCTAATTCCTTTCATATATTGAATGAGGTGAACCCTATTTTTATTTGTTTTTAATTCAAGACAAGTAATTTAGTTTAATTATTGTATTTGTTGATTAATTTTGCTTACCCATTGCATTATTTAATTGATTGGCCACCAATTAGATAATTAGTTACTTGTTGTAGTGTTGAGAGACTCATAATAAGTTTAGAACGCGGAAAAATTAACATGTGTAGTTAGAATTAAGAATAATCTCTTTCACATATGCAATCACTTAGATAACCAAAACTAAATGCGTGATTTTCATATGAATTCGGACTAGTAGTATGATCGAGTCGTGTTAATCATAGGTTCGTGTGTCTTGTAAAAGAGCATTGAATAAATTAGCGCTATCAATTGTCAAACCACATGAATGGAATTAGATTACGAATCACGAATTGAAACAGATAGCAATAGGCAAAGTCGAAATCCAATACAATTCTCCATAACTTGACAAAAACCCAACCTTTCCATATTTCTTAGTTTAGTTTAGTATAAATAAAATTTAAAAAAAAATTCACTTTTGTTTTTCTTAATTCGAATTTAGTAGTAACTAATAAACTAGAATTAAAATTTATTCTTTGTGGGACGATAATTTTTAACTCATCATATCTACTACTCGTCAACGATCCCGTACGCTTGCGGATTTTTACAAACAAGTTTTTGGCGTCGTTGTCGATGAATAATTTATTTAATTTGAGTTTATTGCTTATTTTTAGATTTGAAGTTTTTTTTAACTCCTTTTTCTTTTTTTCTTTACTTTATTTGTTTTAGGCTATTTATCGAACGATTTAAGTCCCTCGTTTCGCTATTTTCAGGAAATCACGATTTATGCAAAATTCTGACGAGATCGAGCTTCTTCTAATAGATCCCGAAATCGAAAGAACTTTCAGACAACGAAGAAGAGAACAAAGACAAGTGAGAGAAATGACAGAAAATCAACATCTGAATCAAGTTCAAAATCCTTTACCATTACCTCAACCAGATCAACCAAGGGCAGTAGCAAATCAAGGAGAAGCTTTTAGTGAGGGATTATGTAAATCCCGTGCAAGCCCCTGTGTAATCAACTATTATTTATCCATCTTTTGGGCAGGCCAACTTCCATATTAGACTTGATATTATCAACTTGTTCCAGAATCATCAAGATATCAGATTCTCTGGAAGATTAATCGAAAACCCTCATGAACATATTCAAGTCTTCTTGATGCTCTGCGATATGATTAGCTATGAAAGAATGTCTGTGGATGCTTTTCGACTATGCCTATTTCCTCACACGTTAAAAGAGAGCACAAGAGAATGGCTAAATTCCTTAACTCATAGGAGCATCGTTTCATGGAATGACATGGTGTAGAAGTTTACATTGAAATTTTTTCCGCCATCTCAAGTCCATCATATTCAAATTGAAGTCCATACTTTCAAGCAAAAGGACCTCGAAAGCTATCCAGAAGCATGGGAAAGATTCAAAGAGTATTTTAGGAAGTGCCCTACTCTGAATATTCCTAAAGAATAAAAAATATGCCTATTCTATTCAGGTTTGAGACCTGAATTTTGCAACAATGTAGATGCATCTACAGGAGGGTCAATATTGGATATTCCGTTGGATAATGCCTTGGAACTTTTTGAGGGAATTGCATAAAATCAATCGATGTGGCCAAGCGATAGGGAAGTCCAGAGGAAAACAACTGGTATATATAATGTGGATGTAGTGACAACATTGACAGAATGGATGGAGGCAATAACTAGAAAGCTCGACAATTTGACATATTCTGTGAATACGGTACAAACTCTAGCTCCGAAATGTGCAGGTTGTGGGGCAGATCACATTACTGCAAGTTTCCCTTTAGCTTCTACTCACATAAGTCAGCCAACAGAGGTTAGTTATACGCAGAACTATCAGAGGCAAAATGGACCTTACCCATACAACTACCATCCGAGTTCGAACAAGCATCCTAACTACGCGTGGGTTGATAATTCAGATCAAGTAAATCAGATAAGGGGTATTTCACCAACGATTCAGCAACAAGAAGAAAAGAGGTAATCATTGGAGGATCTACTTGTCAAGTACGTCACCAAGACTGAGACGGTGATGTAGAATCAGCAAGCCTCTATACATAACTTAGAGAAACATGTGAGATAGATAGCGGCTGCATTAGCCAACAGAGCACAAGGAACTTTGCCGAGCGATATAGAAAAGAACCCA